CAAATGCATAATGCTGCGCTATTCTTTCACACACACATACGGGTTTTGGGCCGAGGGCGACACCGTACTTCCGGTATCCACCATTTCACACGAGGTGCAAGCAGAATATCATAGTCTATTGCCTTAATCAATATCTAGTCAACTCTAAAATACCACATATATGCATTGGCATGATAATATTATTGTGACAAGTGGGGTATTCACCTGGTGTTTCTAGAAGATAGACTTAGATGATGCCAAAATCGGCCGAAGGCCACTTTCGAGAGTCGTTTTTCCATACATCTGCAGGCAGTCTGTAAGGGCAATCGGACAACCCACACAGCTCTAGTTTACGCTGGTAACGACCTAGAGCACACCCCTCAAGTCCAGAGATGTAATTCGAAGACATGCAGCGATTTCTTCAGTCGTTAATTCAGAAAAAAAACCTAGTGCGCTCTGCCTGGCTACATTACCTAGCTGTTTATATTAGCACCTCCAGGATATTAGCACCTCCAGGAAAATGGCGTATTTCTATATAGATATATGGCGCGCGTTGCATTGTGGGTAGCTCGTGACGTCACTGTGTGTGAAATAATACTTTGCGGCCTCACCCGGTTGCATAGCGACGCTTATTGTTTAGGTGTCTTTTAATAAGCAGGTAGTCCTATCATTAGCTAGAAATAGCTGGATCTGATCGATATGGACATAAACGCGAGTGAAGTCTAATCTGACGGGAGAGAGAGATCAGCTGCTGCTGACGAGTCGAGACTCGACACGCAGCTCTGCATAATCACATGCAGCGGTGAGCGGACAAACCACACACTTCAGGTTAGAATATCACACGTAGCTATTTTAATTACCTCTCACTACCTAAACTAGTCATAGATATGTTTAGTTTTACAGTCGGGTCACTCATTAATGGATCCGCGAGCAGCATGATACTGGCATAATAGATTGCCCGATCGGGCAACCAGCAGGTGAGGCTTCATTGCCCGAGTTAAATACTAGATGGCCCCGGGCCATCGGGCAGTCGTTAATGTCGAGCCCTGTGATTGACAAACTAAAATTACCTTGCGACCCCTTTTCTAATCGTCACCCAATCTGACTGACGTTCTTGACCCAAAAAAACTAAAACACTAAAAAAAGATGAAAAGCTAAATGCCTTACGTTTTTGCAGCTAAAGATTCTAGCCTGGTCACTGACTGGCTGACAAAGAAAATACAAAAATGATCGGCTACACCTCTTATTCTGATCAACTGTATTTCACATCATTTTCACAAACTTCAAAAGAACATGACACCGCATTTTAGGACGTTTGTATACATTGTAAGGCACACTTCAGTTGCTAGCGTTAGTTAGCGCTAGCTAACATTGACACTTAAGCAGTGGCGAGCCGTGACTTTTATACCTAGGCCCTCTGACCCCCCTCCCTCGAAAAAAAAGAAGAGATATTACGTCACAGCGTATACTTCAGCGGAATATCAAAACAGCGGCCCGGGGTGCAAAACGCATCAATGACAGTGACCCAATACCACACAAAACAACACAATTTATATAAACACCTATCATGACAGGGCACCCACAGCCAAGTAACAATTACAAATGAATTAAGTCGGCAAGGCGGCCCACATTGAAAATGACTTAGGCCTACCTTTGATGATCAAATCACTTAAACACAAAGTCCATCCTCCTGTCCTTTTGGATGAAGCACTTGCGGGTCATGCAGCTGATCCTTTGCCACTCCAGTTTATCATTGTAACTCAATCTTGAAAATGACTCGGTTAATAATTTCGCAACGATGTCATCACTATCACTGAAGTGAGCCATCATGAACTAATGCTAATTATAAATCTATCGATCATAAATCTATCGATTAGATTTATGATTCAAAAATAATAAAAGTAGGGTAGACATGTGGATATTATCCGGCTGAACAAAACGTGCATTTATCTAACAGGTTCGTTTTCCACAGACCTTATTTCAAGCTATTTTCCAAAATCTTATGGAGAAATCCCACTGCTTTCTGTCAAGGGAATCCGAGCGAAGCTTACTTCCGGGTTTTAGGACGCGTCACTGCACCACTTGCATAGACCTCACAGCGGGCGGACCTTGTCATAAAGTCCGCGAAAATAAAGCCCGCCCATTTAGAGGGAAGATATGATTGGTCAATTGTACTGTCATTTGACATTAACTCTCTCATTGAGTTATTATGGTGGGCCCTCTGTGAATGTAGAGAGGGACCAACATTCGTCACAGTAACTCACAGAGACGGCATTTAACCCTTCACATTCTAACAGAAACTGAACAGGCAGATTCGAAGGATTTATTTATTTGGAAATGTTATTTTAAATACAATTAAATCAAGTTATTTTGGTAAAACTAATGAAAAATGTAACAACAAATATATATAAAAAGAATATTTAATTTTTTTTTTTTTTATGTTTTCAAATATTATTTTTTAGAATATCTTAGGCCCTCACAGAGGGCCCTGACGGCTCGCCACTGCACTTAAGACAACTAACTTACCACAGTGGAAGACGATGCATCATGACCAGGACTTGGGATGTTTTCGTTTCGGGAGTCGGCAGAATTGGGGCTTGCATCAGGGGGCTGTTTATTCAACCACCTCAGCATTTATTTCTTCTTTTTTTAACTGTCGTGACCGTTGCATTGGCGCAAGTCTAGCAGCAGTCAGCAGCAGAGTGGATGACGTAGAATGCATTCTATGATTTGACAGCCCAATGACTTTGCAAATAACACCCATTTTGAAGTTTACTTTTAATTTTTTTTTCACTGTCCCGAAATAGTCCCAGACAAAATAGATTTGTGTCCCAGTAGGAATTGTTATGGTCCCCGGGACATCGTTAATTGCGAGCCCTGGCCACTCCTGGTCCTTTCATCAGACGGGAAGCGAAAGAACGAGCAAGACCCATTGCTGGTATGATAACAACCTGGTACTAAGCACACAGGCATCTTGTTAAAGTTATCTTATCTTAGCCAGCGCCATATAGATATATTATATATATAGGAATTACCTGGATTTCTGCATAAGTTGGTCATAAAATGTGTTCTGATCTTCATCTAAGTCACAACAATAGACAAACACAGTCTGCTTAAACTAATACCACACAAACAATTATATGTTTTCATGTTTTTATTGAACACACCATGTAAACATTCACAGTGCAGGGTGGAAAAAGTATGTGAACCCCTAGGCTAAAGACTTCTTCAAGAGCTAATTGGAGTCAAGAGTCAGCCAACCTGGAGTCCAATCAATGAGACGAGATTGGAGGTGTTGGTTAAAGCTGCCCTGCCCTATAAAAAATACACACCAGTTTTGAATTTGCTATTCTTAAGAAGCATTGCCAGATGTGAACCATGCCTCGCACAAAAGAGCTCTCAGAAGACCTACGATTAAGAATCGTTGACTTGCATAAAGCTGGAAAGGGTTACAAAAGTATCTCTAAAAGCCTTGATGTTCATCAGTCAGACAAATTGTCTATAAATGGAGAAAGTTCAGCACTGTTGCTACTCTCCCTAGGAGTGGCCGTCCTGTAAAGATGAATGCAAGAGCACAGCGCAGAATGCTCAATGAGGTGAAGAAGAATCCTAGAGAGCTAGAGACTTAAAGAAATCTCTGGCACATGCTAACATCTCTGTTGACGAATCTACGATACGTAAAACACTGAACAAGAATGGAGTTCATGGGAGGACACCACGGAGGAAGCCACTGCTGTCCAGAAAAAACATTGCTGCACGTTTGAAGTTTGCAAAAGAGCACCTGGATGTTCCACAGCACTACTGGCAAAATATTCTGTGGACAGATGAAACCAAAGTTGAGTTGTTTAGAAGGAACACACAACGCTATGTGTGGAGAATCCAAAAGGTTCACATACTTTTTCTTGCAACTGTATATGGCGCTGATCTTAGCTATCTCTTAGTGGAGGAAAACAATTGTGACATCACTTATGGGATTTGTAGTCTTTCTCGTTGCGTATTTTTCATAGTCTTATATTTCTACAGTTTTACGACAAACTGTGACTTTTTTGACATGGAAATTATTTTTTAAGATTGACAAACATCATATGTGAAATTCATGGCACAATTCAAACGGGATCGAAAGATACGTTTTCTCTCTCCATTGACTTCAATACATTATTTTTCCGAAATAAGGTCCCATGGACCGGAAGTAGATGGGCGTGACTTCGCCACTCTATTGAGCTATTGGGACGTCCTTCAAAATGGCGTGTCTTGATCGATTTCCGGGTCAAGTCCCGGAGGAGGGGAAGAGAGGAGTCGAGGAGGGGTATTGAGATGAGGCTCATGTCTCATTCCAGGTCCCGTTATTTCCTGCCTTGGTTATTTTTCCCGCCATCGTCAGCATCCGCCCTGATTGTTTCCACCTGTGCCAACCATGGATGTATAATGGTGCCAACTTACCTCATGTATATATTGTCCTGTCTCCCCTTGTTAGTTGTCGGTTCATATTGTTCGTTCGTTCCATGAAGCCAGATCCAAGCCATCATTTAAAGGACTCAGTGTTTTGCCTTTTATCCTCCTTGTGAGCGCTTTACTTTTGACAGTTTGTTATATCCTCTGGAAGAGTGATTTTGTTTTTGCAAAGTAAAGATTATTTTCTTCAAACCTTTTTTGTCTCTGGGTTGTGCATTTGAGTCCTCATACTATTGAGTCAAGATTCCTAACACATTTTAATAACTTTATACATCGATACTGTATATGTAAATGTTGTGTTCTTCGTTCGTTCAAAGAAAATCACCACAGCTTTAAAATTCACATTGAAACAGATGAGCCAAAAACATTTAAGGCTGATAAAATATCAATTTTTTTATTCTAACATGTACCTTCATGCCACAATCTCCTCCTATGCTTTGGATAACAAAGTTGAGCTTCTTGAAAATGTCAACAACTGGTGAGAAAGGTCCTAATGCCATTGGAAATAAGGTCCACTTTCAGCTCAATTCAAGGACAGCAACAGGAGAACAGAAATTCATAGACAAATGTAACTTCCAAAATGCTTTATGCACAATAACACTCAGGTAATATTGTTTATTTTCTCTTTTTAGAATAAAATTATATTTGAATAACATTTACACATCAAGCTGACGAGACTGGGATCTCAATCACAATGCCACTGAAAATGTAATTTATGAAATCCAGTGAAGAACCTTCAAAATGTCAAAATGACTATCTGGAACAGAGCTATCATGGATAGGGCTGGCTGCAAATAAAATCTTTACATGCACTGGAACGTAACACAAATGGAATTCAAATTAAAAAAAATATTGTACTTCAGAATGTATCAGTTCGTAAGCCCTGTTTTCTGCATTAGACCATTTTACCCCAATATATAATTATAACATTGCTCAGGCTTGCCATCAACCTTGAAATATGTATATTCTGTACTCATGTAAACCTAGGGTAAATGAGAAAGCACTTTCAATAAAAACACAGCTGTTTCTGTACTGGTTAATACATTTCCTTCATCAACCATTCCCAAACATCTTATAAGCAATGATGCATGCAGATTCTGTACATTTTGGCATGAGACCATTGGGAATATTTCTAGAGAATGGTTAATATTTTGTATGTGAAACTTTAAAATTCCTTCAGTATGTCAATCACAAATTACGCCTAGCTAACATTAAGAAGTATCAATTTCATTCATATGCATTTAATATAACAGCTGCTATTTTGGGAATAATACATATTCACTATCTTCATGAGAGTTAGATGAAAAGATAAATACCACTTTTATTTATGTCCCATAAAATGACAGCTTGTAGTTTTTACACTTTTGGTTAAGTGAACAACTGAAAAGAGTGTCAGAGGAGCGATTTTTCAATTTTTTCACAAGCTAGTCTCTGTTTTCACTTGCTATTAGTCGTAACGCTTCATGATTGAATAAGAGTGGACACATTTTCTCTTCCAACTCTCGAGAAGAAGTTAATAGGTTTACTTCCCAAAAACACACCATTCCTAAAAAAAACAACCTATATTTCATAGATTACGTCCCACTTATGAATGTTTTCTGACAAAGTAAGGCACAGTGACTTAAACAAGTTGATGCTTCTGTTTTTGAAAAAAAACATTTGATAAAACTGCAAAACAGTGTTAAACATTGCCAGCATCACTGAAAAACATAAAATAGAGGGTACGAGATGAAAAACAGGGCAAACATGAATACCAAATGAAATATATCTCTAATATCCGAGTGAATGTTTGTGTGCTATTTTACAAACTGTAATAACAATAGACACATCCACAGTCCAACATGATAGTTCTTGACAACTTTAAAATAGTAACATTTCCTGTATGGCGACAATTCCAGACACTCTGAGAACTGTTAACCAGTGTTCTTCACCTGGCGTCTGATTTTTAATAATATACAAGCCCACAAGTTATGTGCTATAAGGTGTCCCTTGTCCTCACAGCTTGAAAGTCTGTGTGAAAGCTGATGCTCCGTCTTCTTTGCTTTTAAGGAGCTAGTCCAACCTGCTGTAAAGTTTAATCAATCAGTACATTTTATTTTGTTGTTGGCTCTCTCAAGGGCCATTTGGATTTCAAGATGAAAGGATGGATGTGGGACTATATCCGTCATCTGCTGTAGCGGCAGTCTCAGGTTCAGAATGCGGACACAGGGTGTCCAAATACTAATCAATTAGGTGAGAACAGACAAGAGTTGCATATTGTGGACAATTGTATTCCAGTGTTGTGCTTGGGCACAGGGACAGGATGGAGGTAAGGTAGCATGGATAGTAAGGATTAGGGCCACATGAGCCTCAGGCAAAGCTAGCCCTCATCTTCGCTCTCCTCTTCCAGGGCCTCCTCGAACACTCGTTCTGGTAGCCTGAAGCATTCCTCGAAGAAGTTCACCAGGGACTGGCTGAGGTGCTGCTGTGTTGCCTCACTGTGAATGAAGTGGCCTTCATCAGGGTAGATCTGAGAAATAAAGAAAAGGTGAGCGAGACAAGCTGTGAAAAGTGAAAGCTTTTTACATAATTGTCGGTCACAGACAAATCAGTGACTACAAGAACAGCTATTGCACATAATTATATTTTATATGGTTAGGTATATTTCATATTTGTATCCAAGAAAAGTTTGCGATTTATATAAAACAATCTTGACGGGACAATTGAGGGTCTTCCACGGACACTTTGATCCAAATACGTTTGCAGATTTACTGGAGAAATTTTAAACTGTGAAACTGATGGCAAAAAGATGGAAGGAGAGAGAAACAGTGAGAAATAGTGAACAAAAAAGGGACATTTTACCTCCTACATACATAGTATGAATAGATATAAAGGGCTCATTTGAAAAAAGATAATAGGCCATTACCCCCACAAAAAAAACGTCTGTATCTAATACAGGCTATAATAATATAAGCAATATAATGAAGATTATTCTCACAAGTAACAAACGTGTACAGTACTACAAAATCACTTTAAAAATCGAAGACTGTATAGGTTTAAATATATGTGTACAGTATCTTTTAAACTGATTCCGTTTTCAATAGGTCATGCAGATACTAGTGAATGGTTTCACATATTGTATTATGTGTGTTATTGCTCAAGACTTTGCAATCAGGTTCTTTAAAAAAGGTCCAATTTAAATTAAGTTATTTTTGTATTATTATTATTCTGCAATTTAATGCATTTGGTTTAAGGGTGACAAATAACGTTATTTGATTCATCTTGTGCGTTTTGTCCACCTGTGTCCAACTCGTCATGATTCCAAGTTCATTAGTGACAGTTTCTCATTATGTTCCTTCCTTCCTACGATTGACTTCATGCAGTCAGTGTAAATGAATATTAATAATGGTCGTTTAATTTACTATTTATAGGCGTTTCATTAAGCCTGCAAAAGGTGCGCCATATTTCGAGTTCAGAATGATTTATCAAGGGAAACCGGTATAGGATGTGTGTGCACTGTTATACATCTGAATATTTTCAGGCACTTCAGGGTTTCATCCAAATGCAAACTTTTCACGTAAATCCTGCAACGGCACTACATTTTAGGGACCCAAACCAGCTTGCAGAAATATTCAAATTAACAATTTTTAAAATAGGCAAAACAAACCACATTTATATTGAATTAAAAAAACTACACGTTTTGTCAAATATTGTGTGGGATCAGCAAAAAAGTACTTTTGATTATCCATAGAAACCATTTGCATTGAGATATCATGAATAGAAAGGTGATACAGATGCTGTGCGCTCTGTAACCCCTCTATCAGTCCAAAATCAGCTCGTTATAAATTGATTAGTCCTGGTGTTAATGCAGGATGCCTAAAAAGGTCTGATGATCTCATGACGTGGAATGAAGGCATTGGGAGGGATTGGGAGGGATACTCCTCAGACTGCTAGGGATCCCACTGTGATCAAAGAACTCCCAGTGGTTGGCAAATAACTGAACCAGGAAGAGAAATTGTCATCAGCAGGAGTTAAAATTACAGAGGGATACACGTAACACCACATACCTGTAACGTATAGTTGGCCTTTTCATTTATGAGCTGGCTGATGAATTTTGCTGTATGTTGGAAATGAACCTTTTCTGGAAAAAATATAATGATATATATGACAACATTTCAGGGATTTTTTTGCTTCATGTAATGTTGAAAACTAGAAAATAGATATATGGTTTTGAACATCTTTGTCCTACCATCAGCCGTTGGATGAATTATAAGAAACTTCTTATCCATGAACTGAGATGCTTTGTGTGCTAAATTTGCCATCTGAGGAGTAATGAGACACACAGCAAGAAATAAGATTAAACGAAATACAACAATAATTATGACGGAATTTGAAACATCAGAATTAAAATGAAATCTTACTGTGTATGCCCTCGGATCAGGTTTAGGCAGCCCAAGATATCTCTCGGAAAATGCAGATGCTACAGGGTTACAATTACCAAAGAGTATCACAACATCATATAAATAACACATTTCGACAAGTAATTTGTCTTTTCTTTGGCCATTTAAAAAAAAGGTAAGTACACTTTTCCATTTTTTATTAATTCAAATATATCACCCTTTAGATATTATTTAGTCTCCAAGCAGTTGTGGACTGTCTTAATTTGCATTCCAATTTTACAAATTGCATGCCATTCACCCCTCTGGCAAACAGAGAAATCCAATGTATAGGAAATCAGTCACACTAGAGGCTTCTCAATTCTTAAATTTCCCCTCCTTGACTCCCCTCTTCGACTCCTATCCTCTTCGACTTAGTCCCGCCCACAGGAGATGCGAGCGGAGGACTGAGGAGGGGAACCGAGGAGAGAGGAGGGGAAGCAGCAGGCAGTTAGAGAAATGAGAACTCGGCTGTGTCTCAATTCAGGGGTTGTATCCTTCGAAGGGTGCATTCGTAGACCGCATACGTCACTTCCGCCGAAAGAAGGCTGTCCCAATTTTTTTAAAAAGACGAGACTCCTCTGAATGCGGCCCACGAATGCAGCCTACTTTTCCCCAATTTGAAGGATACATCTGATGTACACTCCGTGGCCTACCATATCCCATGGTGCAATGCGCGCAGGGAAGAGGGAGTTTTTTTTCAAATGAAATGGCTTCCAGTATTCCCGGGAGAGACAGCAAGCGCATCCTCGGTGTGCATTTAGAGAAATGAGATGTCCTTCAAAATGGCACGCTGAAATTAATTTCCGGGTCACTCCCAGAAGACCGAGGAGTCGAGGAGGGGACTTTTGAGTATTGAGAAGCCTCTACTGTGCTACCCACTTCTTCCTTAATTTGCAGTGTCTCTCATTTTCCGTCACATTCAACACACACTATTATACTTTTCACACATTTAATTCCTTTGTTAGCTTAGGTGAGGTTGCTGTTGTTAACTTGGCACATTATGATTGAGCTCCTTTTTCACATACACGTACAAAGCCACTGAAAAAACTCCCAGCTGCATATCTCAAAGTGCTAGATTATATATATATATATATATATATATATATATATATGTTCTTTTACTTTCTGACAACACTGCCTAGATGAATATGCAGAGATAGCTTTTTGAAAGTAAAACAAAAGTCTGCCACAAAAACAGCTTACCGTATAATTCAAAGTCTGTAATGGGTGAGAGGACAGCAGCACACTTTACAGGGGATTCATCGCCCCGGACCAAACGGCTGGTCACAAAGCCTCCATATACCTAAGGTACAATACACATGCATGTTATTGCCTGCGGAGGAATGTACTGAGTGCACTCAATTCAATATTTGAAATGCTTGTACTTAAATGTAATGTAACTTTGTACTTCACTTATAAATACAGCTTTAGTTACTTTTCCTTTTATAAATGTGTCCTACCCTCCCTGTAGAGTGAAAACCACACAATTCTAAAGTTGATTTTGAATGTTTGCAATATACCAAAGGATACATTTTTCCTTTATGGGTTTAGAAAAAATATTCTACTGTATTATAACTATTTAACACTAGAACCGTACATTTTAACCGCAGCTGTTTCTTGATTGTATGTAATTTTTTTTCAATAAAATATAGTAGTCTCCCAGTCCGTGACTTTTCCTGAAAGTCTGTTATGTACAGTAGCACCATATGTTGTTAAAAATTGTCAATATCAAGTCGGATTGAAAAAATTGCCAAATAAGCGCAGCGGGTAATATTTACCTTATAGAAAATGCAGTGATTCTTGCGCTATTGATCTCGCGCGTTAGTATAAACATGACTTGTTGCTATAGCAACGCCTGTTTACTGCAGTTCCTCATAGAGATAGAGGTAGATAGTTATAAATAGATCGCTAGATAGTTATAGAGAGATAGATAGAGACACTTTTAGCGATATTTTATACTTCATGCTATCTGCACTAGATATCATATGAAAGCTGAGAGTCCACAGATTCTATTGGTATACGTTTCATCACTGTGCGATCAAAACTCACTGTTAACCCTGTGTTCTAGTATGACAGGGGTACTCAAATACAAATCTTAAAGGTCCAAAATAAATGTTTCAATTAGACAAAGGTCCGTTTATTACGGTCATTCAAACTTTTAAACAATTGCAACAAGATTCTTAACACGAGGTTGCAAAAACAAAAATGATCTGTATGCAGCAGTTTTCATTGTTATTGTGTCTGTGCTTGACCCCTCAGAGTCGCAGTATAAGAGCTGCACAGTTAAAGGCAGCTGCACCCTCTTCCATTCAGCATTCCCATTATTGCTTTATAAATGTCTTGCCCACTTGTTTGTCCACTGAGGTTCGTCAGGCCCAACACATCTTCAACAAACTCCCCCTTTGCCTCATCATAAAAACTCACAAACACCAGCAACTGAGCATTGTCAGTGGTGTCAGTGGACTCACCCACAGCTAAGGAAATGCACTGTGCATTTTTTATTCCACCACAAAGCTGATGAATCAAATCACCAGCCAGTATTTATGTTCTTCTGGTTTCTGTGGAATCTGAGAGGGGGATTTGCTTGATTTTACCTGTTATTTCCTCTTTTTGTTTGCCTTCAACATGGTCTCCATCACTTCAGTCATGCATTATTTTATACTTCAGTTATTATCCAGTGGAATGTCCTTACTTACAGGCCTAGTTCAATCAAAGTGGTTACTTTTTTTTGGCTGGGCAGTGTAGTTTTACACACCGTCTTATTTGACTTTCTCAGGACTTAAAACTGTTTTTTGGGGGCAGACCCCCACAAAGAAAAAAATATATTTACACACGTAAGGTCATCATCTTAATAGTTTTGTATGCTCATCCGTGAGCAGAGCATCAAGTTGATGCCTATAACAGCTGAATGCGGCGATTACCATCTTGTTCAGCAAAACGCCTCACAAACTTATTAAGATCAACAGCTTTAGTGCGTTTTGATTCAATGCTGAGTACAGCCAAACTGACAGCCTCTTCTCTGTCAGTGTAGACGGCAAATGCCTCATTCCTTCAGTGCTTGGGTCCGAATGCTTCTCGTTTTGCGCCGTCCCGTTCAAATGAAATCGCCGCCAATCATATGTCCACGCTCGCGCCAGGACCGGGGGAGGGGTTACATGACGTGCATCTTGTGCTGCATTCACTTGCACATTAGAGACTTTCTCTCATAAATGTCCGATGAGCCACAACTTTTCCTTCAAAACAAAGCTGCCAACTGAGGTGGCAAGGCCTATTTTTAGGGTGTCAGTTGCCACCCCGGTAGGTGAAACTAGGCTACTAGCTACAGTACAGATGGAACTAGATGAGCTGTTAACTCTCGCTCTGAATTTCTTTTTTTTTTAAACTCTCGCTCTGACTCAGACAGGTTGAAAGAGACGACACACATTTTTCCCACCCGCATTCCGCGAAGACCCGCCCTACTGTGCCTCTGATTCGCAGATTGTTTGGGGGGAAAATACGCTGACAGGATGCTGAATGTGATTGGACCAATGCGTTGAAAGACACACACAGACAGTGGAACAGGACATGCAGAGCGCTGTTTGCAGTCTATGGACATATCGGATCATTTTGACTCGTTGCGTTGTGGCGATGTCTCGCAGATAACACAGAAAAGTATAATTTGCTCAGAGTCCAGAGACAGTTGTGGTTCGATCCGGATCCGGACCGGAGTCCGGACTTTGAAGATGCCTGTAGTATGATAAATAAAAGAACATTGTACCTTGAAAATCAATGCATTCTAATAACGGGTACATTTTATCTTTTGGCGGTTTTAGGTATACAGCGACCCCTGGTGGTTCTAGTGTTAAAATCCCTAGAAAATGTTTTTGGTGTCAGAACTTCTGAAAGGTTGACTTTTTAGAGATATATACGTGTGGCAGTTGGGTGTGATTATAGCGCAGACTGCTGGACAGATGGAAGTTGCTTGGCTGGAGACTAGCCAGGTGATCTGACTCAGGTAATGGGTCAAAAGAAAAGCATGCTGGTAACCTGCTTCTGGGTTGCAAATGGTCAGTTTAGCTTAGGAAGGTTCCCAACGGAGTTAAATTACACAGAAGTACCTAAGTGGCAGCAATGATAAGAGCTGTTCAAATTCTAGATGATAGGAAAGGAGCTTTGAAACTTCCTTTTAATGTCCTTTAGTTTAGGAAACACTGGACTGACCTTTATGAAAAAAAAGGAGAAAATGCTGTCCCACAATACCTTGCGGCCAAACATTTACCGTGACACAACAATCGTCCGTTCACAGAGACAACTGACCGTGACCGAGAATTGCTTATCATGAAAGTTACGTTGCTTATTAAGCATTTTAGTAATATCAAAAGTTACTTTTTTACTGTTAAAAGGGTACCACTTTACAATAAGACTACCCTTATAAAGGACTCATAAAGGGTTTATAATTAGGTTATGAATTAGGTTGTAAACACTTTAATCATTAACAACCATTTATAAACCAGTTATATACATCAACACAGGCTCACTATTTGGCAAGATGACTAAGCCTTATATTGGCTACTTAGCGAGAATCAACTCAGTGAACAACAGATACCAAGGATGCTGGCTGATGAAGAAAGCTAGGAAGCCAATATAAGGCTTAGCAGTACAGATACATGTTGGCTCACTATTTGGCAAGCAACCGGTCACAGTTGCCCTGTTTCTCTCATTTCTTATAAAAGCTTATTAATGACTTATAAAGTGTTCACAACCTAATGAATGAATTACAAACTATTCGTAAACCCTTTATAAGGGTAGTCTTATTGTAAAGTGGTACCATTAAAAGATTTTTTTTTAAAAAGGTAAACATTTCTCAGTGTGACTGAGCGGTATGGGGTTTCTTAAGCTTTTTAAATCATGTATGAATTGTGATATACACAGTGATATCACAATTAAGGCCTAAGAAGTTTACAATAAATACACATGCACCGCAGACGCACATTAATAACATCTGCTGGCGGATCATAAATATGTCGGAAAGTGTAAGTAGGGAGGCTGTGGCTCAATGCGTTAGTGCGCTGATCTTCGGCTCAGGGGAGCAATCGTTCCGTAAAACGTCCAGATGAGACAAAATACTGCTTTTTGATTCTGAGGAGCAGGTTACCAGCATATTTTTATTTAGTGAGTCATTACTTGATTCTGATCACCTGTCTGGTCTCCGGATGAGTGACTACCATCTCTGCGGCAGCCGGCGCTCTAACCACAACCCACTGCCACAATGTGGTTCTCACAAGACATATGATGGTTACTATTTTTTTTTCCTTTTACTGATAATACTGTGATGCTTTTACTTATGTGGAATAATTTTGTTTTGGAAATGCTGCAACATATTTTGTTTCTGAAGTTAAACCCCAAGAACAAATAGTACAATCTGGATATTAACGACATGCATGATTATATTTTCACACAAAGACTATTCTTACCTTTCCAAAAGCTCCAACTCTGGTTTTGTCAACATAGGACTCTTTCAAAATAAAACTGCAAAAAAACAAAACATTGGTTCTAGTTAGGAAGAACAATTCTGATTAGATTTGTGTATACACTGTCTCAGCATAGATACTGTGTTGCACATACTAGCTGTCTTTACAAGGCACTTATAATTATATAAATTACCTAAACTACTACTATAGATGACCCAATGCAACATGTCATTCCTAAAATAAAAGATCGATATTCTCAAAATAACAAGTAATGTGAGGGAATATTTGCATTGCAATTTAATTAATTGAAGATTGCTTTTTGAAATTGCTAAAAATATCAAGAGATTAATTCCACTGTGACTTGGAATTGTCAGTGGGTTTCTATAATAAATGTTATGTTTAATTCATGCCATGAGTCATGAGGAATTCTGGCCCCAAATTTAATTTTTACTCATGTTTACTTAATGTCATTTTAGAAGAAGACAAGGTTAAAATATATCATACTTGAGTGCTGCCTTCTGATCCTGTTCCTCATACAACCCCAGTTTATTCTGGATCCGGTGCAGCAGGTTGGTGCCCTGGAAGCCACTACCTCGTCCGTCACAGCGCACCACAATCGCTCCGAAGCTGCTCACCAGCACTGTGGCCCAGTCTAAGTGGAACTGCTCCGCCACCGTCTGACCACCAGGTGTCCCATCGCTACACACAAACAACCAGATCAGTGTATTTAAGACTGCTTAGGCAAAGCATTGTTTCTTTTTTTTCTCTTAATATCAAAAGATTACACTGGGTATAAATAATAATTTGGTTCTCTTTGGAAATTGTGGGTAAAAGCAGTTTCCTTTTATTGTCCAAATACATTATTGCTCTTATGTTCATAATTTTGGGTGTACTATTTACTATGGGTACTGTATCTGTGAACTGACAATGGGCAACATGTACAGAATAGCATTAGGATATAATAAAGCTAAAATGCAGCAGATATAACTTGTTCCAAGACAGTCACTTTAATACAGTTAAATAATTGTAATTATTAGATAGGCATATGCGCTTGAGATGCAAACAAGCGGATTCCAAAAGGTGATTTCTAAAAAGTTTAGAATTGAGCTAAAGATATATAAATGTACAAAATAAATGCTAGTAAAATAAAGGGGTGGACAGGAGGATTATGATAAGTGTCTTTATCCCCAGTGTTATTATTATCCAAGAAGAGTGGAGAACAATATGCTTGATTAAAACTCAGTCCAGGAAGCCATATTGGGTCAGCATTGCTAATGGACACACACTTTTTCCATGTCAAAATGATTAGACCAGTACTTCACAAGTATGTGAAAAAATATGCTAATACATACACCAACAGGAGCACAGGATAGTGTGATGTGTCCACGAAGCCGGCAGGTTTGAGGATCTGCATTGACAGAGCTGTAGTGTAGATACAAACAACTGTTATCCAAAACATAACATTGCAAACAAACATTAAATATGCTCCTTTAATTGAGAAACTCTACCGTATATTTTTAACCTTATTTATGTACCACTTCATGATAAACGTTCATTGATCATATCTGTATTGATACTATACCATCTAGACCTAGAAGAGGATTTTGGAGGATGGGATGTACAGTGGAATATATATATATATTAATGCTGTCAAAATTATCGCGTTAACGGCGGTAATACATTTTTTGAATTAATTGCATTAAAATATTAAACGCATTTAACGCATGTGCAGAATGGCCCGCCCCATACATCCCACCAGCCTACCCCAGCCAAGGTATGGCTGGGGTAGGCTACACCCATACCAAGAAATGGCTTAGCCCCACCATGAAAAATTATGTTAAAGTAAGCTAAATAAAGTCCGCCAACTCGCGCCGAGAATTGCACAGACAGCAGTTATTAAGATTGATTTCAGTAGCCACTTGTCTGGAAATACCGAAGACCAGAAACGGTTTTGAAAACTTTTGTCACGTAGTGATCGTCTTCCCAATAGAACATCTTTGATAATGTCTTCTGGCCAATCAGAATCAAGATAACGGCGTGGTGTTGTTGCAGGAAGTCCCGACGGAGAATACTTTTGCTGTAGTACAGGTAAACACATAACTGGTACGCAGGTTATGTGCGTAATCTGAAATGCGTACCGTCACTTGTGTCACAAAGCGCATTTGCGTACCGACGTACTTGTGAAGCTTTTCCAGAAGGTGGTTAGATCACCGGACGACAGAGTCGGTCTCCGTGCGCACAGACAGGGCTGCTGTTATGGTCGGTCTGTACAACGGAATTGTGCCAAAACTACGCCAACTGGCTGGGGAGGGAGACTCCCCCCCCCTTCACTGGAGAACTGCGCTAAAACAGCTGATCACAACGTTCACACTCAGTGGTCACGAAGTACTCCATAGCCCCCCCCCCCCCCCCCCACGTCGACTTTCCTGAAGTACTCCCCCGTTGTTAGAAATCAACACGTAATTAATTAAGACCCCACGGTTTGATGATTGATAGGTGCTCTCTTTCATTTTGACACACATAAAAATGTTACAATAAACATGTTAAATGGATATATCCGCCTTCTTTCATTTATCTTTCCATTCCCACAACAATATACATAAAGAAATGACATATTTTGGACATAGTTCGAATGGCAATTAATCATGATTCATTAATTTTTAAGCTGTGATTAATCTGATTACAAATTGTAATCGTTTGACAGCCCTAATATATATATATATATATATATATATATATCAGTGGAATATATGTCAGCAGGGCATGTTAACAATGGTATGTGATATTGGATAGGTATGAAGAAGTAAATAATCTCATGCCAAATTGCAATAAAAGCCAAATTGATGTGGCTCTGATCGATATTACAATGTAAACGTTGCAGTTAACTACACTGTCCTGAACAGCAGTGATTCCCAGACTGGAAGTTGTTACCCTAGGTTTTTTCTACAGTCCGTTTCTGACAACTATCAGATAACTTGTGTACATGGACTTGTCCACTAATGTGACTGTGGCTTTGAAACATGACACATACTGTAGTCATCAATGTTGATCTCCTTGTATTCCACAGTGGGCATCTGCATGGAGTCCAGGGTCAGCCTCAGGTTGTCATTGCTCTCCATGTTATGTACTTCTGCAATACCTGTAGACATCACAAAATTAACTAATACAGTTTGCAGTAAACAAAGTTAACTGTATTAAGGTTTGGACAGTAATATGGTTGTAGCTTGCTTTTTAAACATACTGTGTGCAGTTATGATATATGTTAACCAAGTCAAGCAAACTGTGTGCATAGTTTGAAAATATGTATGTAAAATTCATAGAAGAAAGCATCCCCACACCATATCAAAGCCTCATATTATCTTTAACTTTCATCATGAACTCTATCTAAACAAAGGGCTGCTCTCCATCCAGCGCTCCAAGCTGAAAACATTTGGCAACAGAGCCTTCAGTGTTGCAGCCCCCACCCTCTGGAATTCTCTCCCCTCTGCAATCAGGAATGCAGACTCTCTGGACACCTTCAAAAAACACCATCTGTTCACTCAGGCCTTTGGCCTCAACTAATATACAGTACCCAGCAACCTGTTCTGTTTTCTTCATGATTATTATTACTTTTGTTTTGTTACTTCCCATTGTAAAGCGTCCTTGGGTTTCGTGAAAGGCGCTATATAAATTGAAATTATTATTAAATACAAAAGCAAATAAACATGTTAACTGAAACTGTGTCCAAGATTCATTGTTAACATGTTAAGCACTACCTGCAAAACATAAGCATTGCATGGATGCAAGATTTTTTTATCTTAAATTTCAATATACATTTACCCATGTAAAAAAAGCCTTAAAAAAAAGCATACTCACTAGTTTTGTCGGTGAACATTTGGGAACAATAATTGGAAATTGAAATGGAACTTGAAATGGCAACTTTCTGGTTCCCAAGCAAAGTCCACAGTTCAACAGCTAAATACAAATATTCTACCAAATAACATCAAGAATGTTTTAACATAGTTAGGGCGGGGACATCATATACATGTAGGTGAAGATGACAGACTGTCACACAAGCATACTGTAGTAATCAAATTACTGTTTGCTGATATTTATGTTGGGCAGGTTATAACTTAATGAGAATCCATTCTGAGAAGTAATTTGATTACTGGCAACATTCTGGACTTGGCTTGCAAACAAAAAGTCACTCAGGGCGCAGGCGGTCATTCTCCATTGTAAACGAACCACGTCTGTCCCTTTTGAAAAAGGTAATTTCCATTTTCAGTGATTATTCTACTGCCCACAAGGTCGCACGTAATGTCATTAACATAATCCAGAGTTTTGTAAATGCAAATTAGTGATAAAGTTGGTAGAAATACTTACTCTCACTGTCTCCATCTCTCTGTGTCTTGTAAACAGCTACAAATGGGATGTCCCGTCCTTAAGAAAATCAGAATGTTTTGTCATTGTCAACACATCAGTGAGACATCAGGGAAATGTTTAGCATGGTTTAAACATTAAAAAGGGAAAATGTTTTAAAACAGAGAAAGACATCCCATTTAGTTTTTCTGTCTGGGAAAGAGGCAGTTTTTATTAGTAAGTTATACTAATTAGTTCCTTATGTGATGCAAACTGAAGTAGCTTTTCTTTACCTAAGCCAGCAAAACAGGCAAATTCCCTCAAACATAAGCTCTTACACCTCAAATTGGAGGCAGAAGGGACAGCAAATTAAGTGATTGATGGATTAAACTAATTGGGAAGACAGTGCTGGAACATTGTGGTTGCACATGGTGTAAAGTTCAGGCACTTGCTCCCTTCCTCCTTTCCTTCTTCCCACTCTCTCGTCCTCCTTGTGGAAATTATATAGCCTTTTCACATTTCATTTCAAACCTTTATTTATCCAGGTGAATCCCTTGAGATCATTGATCTCTTTTTCAAGGGAGACCTGCTCAAGTAGGTTCCACATGAAACATAAAAACAGAACAACAAAAAGGACATCATACAGCATCATTACAGGGATTACAATTTACAATAACTATCCACATGAACAGGTACCAACAGCTTCCGATTGAGTAGCATCCAACCGAGCTTTAAAAACATTTAGTGGCACCAGATTGCTCAGTTTCCATTTAATTTGCAGACTGTTCCAAGACAGAGGAGCTGCGCATCTAAATGTTATCTTCCCTAAGACAGTCCTAGCAGTTGGCGCATTTAATAAAACCACAGCATGCGATCTCAGGCAGTAGCCACTTACAATCGCCGTGAGATCAGGGAGCAGATGTACAGTAGGATGGAAGTTTCCCTAACATGGCTTTATATATAAAAATGTGCCAGTGACTGAGCCTCCATACAGTTAGTGAAGGCAAACCTGCCCTTGCATACAGGGTACAGTGATGAGTTAATACTTTACAGTTTGTCACAAATCTCAGTGCACTGTGATACACAGCATCTAACTTGATCAGGTAATTGGCAGGTGTATTCATATAAATCAAATCACCATAGTCCAGCACAGGTAAAAAGGTCACAGTGACTAGCCTTTTCCTGGCCTCAAGCGAGAAACAGGACTTGTTCCTGTAAAAGAAACCTAGCCTAACCCTCAGTTTTTTAAGCAGGTTATTGACATGAAGTTTAAAAGTGAGACAATCATCAAGCCAGATACCAAGGTATTTGTAACAGGTAACCACTTCAAGCTTTATTCCTTCCGTAGTTACAATATCTAAAACAGGCTCTGGTGTCTTTTTAGCTTTTGAAAAGAGCATTACCTTGATTTTATCAACATTTAAAAGAAGCTTTAGTTCAGAGAGCTGAGTCTGAATAATGTTAAAAACAGCTTGCAATTTAACAACAGCCTCCCTACTTCTTTCTAGGCAGGCTGATGGGAGAGTTGGATTAAAAACATATGAGGTGAAGGACAATTGATTATCGAGTAATTTCTGGGGTCTGTAGCGAGGGTTTGATGGCATTATGGTCCTTTCCTATTTGATCCGACTTAAGTTATGATAAATTAGTACCATTCACAGGTGACACAAAATAAATGGACGTGTGATTAATTGCTGTCATAGCTACCTTTGCAGTTGAGCAAGAAAAAGCTCATGTTGTGGCTGAAAGACCCACTGATGTAATCACAGCTGTCCGACAAGGCACATGACAGACAGCGTCGATTGAATGAACCAAAGGTGTCCGCGCTATGGAGCAAAGAAGATGATGTTTAAATTCTAAATCTAAATGAGCAAAATGGTATCAACTTTCAAAACAACAATTCTTGACACTAAAGACTAGACTGTTACCTGTATAAATGTCTTCGCTTAGGACCATCCTCAGTGCTCAAGAAGTATCTACATAGATATAACAGAGAAAAAAAATGTAATGTAAGCAGATTTGAATCAAGCTTTAACAAGAGGTTATCCCTCAGCTTGAGGAGTGGGAAAAAGGCACATGGAACACACTAGCAGTTACCAAACTACTAATTTTCATAAATGAATGATGGAGTAAAAATGAAAGATGAGTCAAGAGGTTTTGGATGTTGTTGTTCTAAAGTAACTTTAACATTGTGTATACATTAGGGTAAATGGGTGTGAAACCATGTAGAAGTGATCGAGATGAGTCACAATTCTCATGGGTTCAAAAGAGAAGCAGGGTGATTTTACGCTGTGTACATTTGGAGAGGTTTATTGTGTCGAACTCTACAAAATGCTAGAACACCACAATTTGAATATAAAGCTGCATTCACATGATACGCAATTTGCTTTATGGCTCATCGCAAAGGCGCACAGCCTTGTGGTGAAAACATTCATATTATGATTATAAAATATATATGATATATGTTAGGCTAACATTATAGACAATAGGAACAGGTTTGTTGTTAATGTGTATGCAGGCCAAATCTCGAATAATGATAAAACCATCACTTTCAGACTTTTGTTTGATAATAATAAATGTAAAGAATGTATACCTACATAAAGCAATAATATAATTATGACATCAAGATGTGAGGATGGTGGTGATGCTGGTTTGTTTTAACTGATGTTTGTGGGTGCTCACATCAATTGGCTGTCCTCATTATAGGCCAGGACTTGGGTGACATCCCAGTCTCCAGACGTGATGGACTGTAGTGTGTCTGTACTGGTGTTGGGCTTTGGAGATAAACAGAAGCATTGCAAATATTGCAGTATGTTTATTAAATGGTGATAACTTCATATAAAGACAATGCAAGTTTTGACGATATTGTTATAAATGAAAATAAAATAACACAGGCTAGTGGGGTATTAATAGTTGATGTAACGAAGTAATAAGGTTTAGCAAAATTGCATAAAAAAAACATTTTGATAATATTGAAGTCCCTGTTAATTAAAGTCCAACATATGGATTACTTATACAAAAACACTGGATAATAAACATAGTAATGTGACTCTTAACATACTCTATAATCTTACCTGGGAGATGGACATGGAAATGTGGAAGAACTTTCCCCTGCCGCCTTGAGGAATGGCACGGGTGAAAAACAATTTCAGCCCATCTCTGGAAAACAGAGGTTTCTCATTCTGAGGACACAGAGAAGAACATTCATACATTTTACTTAATGAAACATAGAGCTTACAAAAACATATTGAAATGGATTGGTAAATGCAAAAAGTGCACAAAAAAGTCCCCCATTACAATTCTGTACTAAAGCTTGCACAATTACCATGTATAATTTAAGAATGTTATCAAATTGCTTTGCCAAAGATAAGAATATATACATTAACTTAATTCCAGAAATTAATAGTTCAATATAAGCAAGTGCAACATAATCAATAACTCCCATTATAAATAGTAAGAGTCATTATTCTTACCTGTCTGTGGAGCCATCCTTCACTTTCATCCTCATGTTTCTGTAAAACAGGGTGTTTTATTTAGTGTATGAAAACATCCCAGAGTTCATTTGACACCCACACACACAAACCTTTGTGCAGACGCCTGTTGTGGCCTCACACAGAGTGAGTATAGAGATGTTCTGGGCTCGGTTCAGCCAGTTGATGGCCAGTTTGGTGGTGGTGGCCCATCTCACCATGGTCACATAGTACTCACTGACAAACACAGAAAAAAACAAAAACAAAAACAAACAATCACTGACACAAAAATGTTTGACAGTGTAGAAAATGTTTGATGTGAGAGCAACATCTGAGCCACAGAAAGAAAGGAATTGTGAAGCTGATAATTGAGTGGCCCGACCAAGCAAGGAGGCAGAGAGATATAACCCGGTGTGGGCATTTATTACCCCTTGTGGTACATGACACAGCCTCAATCTCATGTGAACACAGTCACCACCAACAAGGATCTCTCCCCACAAACAGGAAACACAGAGCCTAAATACCCACAGACTAATCAACCAACAAGACACAGGTGAGGGGGGAGGAGACAACCAGGTGAACACAATCAACAACAATGAAGCCATACAACCCGTAACAGAGGCCAAGACCTATGGCCCCAGAGATCACCTCCGTGACAGGAATACAATAAATTAACATTACTACGAACAGAGTAGGGTATTAAGTGTATTTGCGCAAATTATGGGACCACATTTTAGTAAAAATATGTCAATGGAGTAATTAAATGTACAGAATCTTTTCACGAGAAAAAATGCTGTTACAAACATCATTAGAAGACTCAGCATCAATAAATGAATATATGGAGAGAGATTAAACACATGATAGAATATATGAATTTAAATTAAATATGCATGAGGTGTAAATATGCATCACTTGACTGAATGCAGATTGATCTGGTTGATAGTTGAATGCCTCACCCCATCCTGGGATCATCAGGTCTCCTCATCTCGATGGTGTGAAGTGGGCCATTAAGATTCACAACATACAAGGTTATAACAGGGTTCTCCTCACCAGCCTTAATGGGAGAAGGAGAAATTAGACAATTTAATGAATATAACATCTCAAATCTAAAGAAAATATGTATTCTAAAGGGAAAAACTGTGTGCCTTAGGGTAGTGGTACTCTTTTCCTATTGGGTAGGGTGATCCTGTAAACATGGGCAGCTCCATCCTGGGCACCAGGGTGTCATTGATGGTGGCGTAAGCTAACCTGGCACCATCAGGGGACCACCAATGGGCAATTTGGGACTGTAAAATCTCCTCTGAAAGAATAAGAACAAAATTACCCTCAATCATAATGATAGTGATTAAAAAAATGCTTAATGCAGGCAGCAGAGACACATGTTGATTATATTTCTTCCAGGCAACAGAATCATATTAATGTTGCTTCTCAGGGTTAAACAAATAAACAGGTGGAATGGGGAAAATCTATTTCAAAATGTATAAAATTGTATCATCAGTAGTATTCTTTCTCTTAGCCTTTCTCTCTGTTCACAGAAACTCGTTAAATTACTCATGCATGCATGTTAGCAGAATCATACAGGATTTATAGATGTTATGTTGAGAAGTTTTCGATTACACAACAGTCAACAATACGGTATGAACAGTTGCTTGAGCAGTACAAAGTGTCGAAATCCACAGTACCCAGTGACAGAAGAAAAATGCCAGATAATCATAAAACATTTAATCAAATACTGCTAATACAGTAGTTATTGAATCTCCTCTTAAAAGGACACACATTCTAGCTAAATGTGGCAAGGTTTACATCCACCCTTTGAGCATTACAGTTTACTAACTCTTCCCTGACTTGCTATATGTTGTCCCTCTCTATCTCTCTCTTAAACCTACCAGTATTAAATATTGAGGTTATAAATCACAACAACTTTTAATCTTAGTGCAGCATATCGTCCAAAATAGATCACAGCAAGATTTCCTACAAATGAAACAAATTATCTGCTGGTACAACTACGTCTTTATGTGTGTGTGGACCTTCTTTTTTTTTTTAAAGCAAGAAACTCACGTCGCCTTCTTTCTCAACTTGCAACTTAGAGGGTTCCTTTGAGCCCCTTTATGTGCAGGTGTGTATTTAAAATTATCTTGCATCACGCATTCTCTTGTTCAGAAGACAGAGCGGAATTCATAGGGATAAAAGCAGTCTTTGTCCTTCATCTCTATTATTACACATGCACGCATTTATTGAGTAATTATGCTAATTAAAGCTAACTAAGGGAACTTTTTGACAACATTAAGCATAGTTGTGACAATTCTAATTCATTATTAAGTCTGACCTAAAAAAAGCTTGACTTATTGTCGCAGCTTGCCACTAGCTATACTTATTGCAACTTTTGCAATTCATGTTGTTTATCTGTGGAACTGGGTTCTAGCTTCAGGGAATTAACCGACATCAACAACCAATTAGCATTTTCATTCACTATGCATGCTTGTTGGAATTACTTAATACACAGCATCATCTGACAAACAACCTCAGTGCATATCATATGTATATCTACATTTTGTTCTCTCATACAATTCTGCTGAAGTAATTGTGCATGGAGTATAATTTCACTGCAGGACACTGCTAAACTAATTAGAACACCACACATCTCTATCTGACATGAGAAGAAGATGGATTAATGGTAGCATTTGGTCCAAATGGTAGTCTTTGGTCCCCCTTCCCGCCTGGTTTTTCCAACTGCACCCTGCTGGTAGAGCTCCGTGGGGAATGATTGGATCACACTGTCTCGTGATAAACAGAGCAGCACAGCATTATGCTGCATTTGCAAATGATAAAAAAAGATTTCCTTTATGGCTGGTTCTGGTGCTGCTTGCTGACCTTACCAGCAGCAGCTTAAAAAGCGAGAGCTCTTTCCTGTTGGATTCGCTCGGCTGGGGACACCAAGTCACCTTGGCTTGTCAAAGAGACAATAGTTAATTTTCTAGAAGCGTTCCAATATGTGCCTGACAATAAAAGAAAAATGAGTGAACAAAAGGGATAGAAAGTTAGTGAACTCTTTTTGATGAGCTAATTCATTCTCTTTCTCTTAAGTAATGACATATTCTCTTCTTTATCCATCCCCTCATTGTGATGATTACCAAGGTGAGCTATTGGAGGCATTTATCCTCTCCCCATGTTCTCCATCCTTCTATGCAGACTAAATAATTAATTGTGTAAAGGACACATACTGCATTATATTAGTGCATGAAATACCATGATTCAAGTGGCAAATGGAAATTAATGTAGTGCAGATACAGGCAGACTGATAATTATAAGTTCATTTCTTGCTATAAGTAAAACCATGTATGTTAGTAGTAAACACCAAGAATCTGTGTGGACACAAATGATCAGTGTTCCTGTATTTACAATGACAACATATTGTATATCCAGTAGAGGGCAGCAGCGTCACATCAATAAAGTAAGGCAGACCTACAGTATAGTTCAAAGCTAAGCATTGCAGAAATCTTGGGTGTCATTTTGGATCAAAACCTAAGCTTAGACAGCATTTTTTTTTGATCGATTCTCTTTGTGTTTAAAATGTGATCTGTTTTACCAATAATAACTTTGTCAATATGTTTAAAACAAGCAACATAAATAAAGTTGATATGTATTATAGCACAGAAAGGAATGCAGCCATTATTTTCAGGTATTAATGTCTGATGCATATTTTATGTCAATTCTATGGTTTCTGAGTTTTGCTCCTTTCCTCATGTTCTGAATATTCATAGCCTGCAGTCAACCCAACCGATCAAGAACAAACACAATCCTGCCTAATGGTTCGTGAACAATTATATTATTCAACTGTCATATTAAAAACTAAATGTAAAAATTCTAGAACATGTAAATAAAAAAAGTTACCGGTTCTACCCTGGCAGACTGAAGAGTAGGTTAGAAGACATAAGACCCCTTTTTGTATTTTTTAAAATATATTTAAAAAATGTTACACAAACACATACACACATACACACACCCTCACATTGCAACAGTATTAAAAGTATAGGCCTACAAATAAAATAGAAATAATTTCACAGTTTCTTTTCAGAGGCAGTCCACATTCCCGTCCCTCATAATGTGCATATATGGCTCCCAGAGCTGAACAAAGTCCTTCCGCTTGTGATGTAAGTCAGTCTTTCTAGACCAATACTTCCAGAAAGTTCCTTCAACCAAATCCTCAGTGATGGGGCATCCGTACATTTCCAACATAAAGTGAAAGCCCTCCTGGCTTGAAGAAGGCCAAAATCCAGAAGCATGGTTTGTTTTGAAGTCTGTTTGAAGTCCTTTGTCCTTTGTGTCCTCCAAGTACACAACATTTGACGTTCAAAGGGAAATTAATGTTAAACATCTCTGACAGACACCTAATAACATCCTTCCAGAATATTTGAATTTGTGGACATTCCCAAAGACAATGAAATAAAGTTCCTTTCTCATCCAAACACTTAGAGCAGACATCTGGACTATTGGCAGACATATGATGAAGTTTGACAGGAGTTATGTACATTCTCATTAACCATTTATACTGAAGTAATTTGAACCTAGTATTTATTGTCTGACTTTGTGCTTTTAGGCAAGCAGCATTCCAATCTTCCTCATCAATATCTTCATATATATCCGTTTTCCATGCACTTAATTTATCTAATGGTGATTCTGTCACGATCTGCCTGTATTGTATTTTGTCTTGTCTTGTTTCATGTTTTATGTTGAAAGGTCTTTACTTCCTGTCTTGTCTGTTTCTGTCAGCGTTGTGTCTTGTTTAAATCTGTCTGTGGTTCCCTGTCGTTAGTTTCCCTGGTGTGTCTAATTTACCCGATTGTGTTCACCTGGTGTCCCTGTGTTTTCTCCTCCCTCCTCACCTGTGTCTTGTTTCTGTGATTAGTCTTGTGTGTATTTAAGTTCTGGTTTTTCTGTCTGTCTTTGTCGGTTCGTCTTTTGTCATGACTAGTTTGTCGGTGAGTGTTCTGTTTTGTCTTTGTTGTTTCACCTAGCCTTGAAATAAAGGAAGTTTCACGTTATTCTGCATTTGGGTCCTACCTGCTTCACACACCGTGACAGATTCAGTGTCAAATGCAACCATCGTGTTGTAGAATTTAGATACTAGGCCGTTTCCTTCCAAATTTGCAAGTGTTATTTCCTCAAGTTTCGATAAAGGTGGTACCGACATTATCTGTTTATGTTTTGATGACATGTAACTTTTTAACTGTAAATATTTAAAAAAGTGCTTTTTAGGGATTTGATAGCTGATCAAAAGAAAGCAAAACTCTGTCTGTATATTAGGGCTGTGCATCTTCACTGGTCTCGCGATTCGATTCGATTACGATTATCCTGTCAACGATTCGATTCAATTCGATATCACGATTCATACCAATGCGTTGCATCCTCTATATTACTGCACATGGCTTATTTTTCATCAATGCATACATGCAGTAAATACATATGAACTCTCTTTTTATTATTTAGAAAGTGCTTCAGAAATCAATAACATAAATGTCTTGACATTCATTTATAAACCAAAATAAATCAATTGTATAGGTCTAGCCTCCCTATATCTGTGTGTGAAGTTGTTCCATCCTCAAAAACAAAAAAAATAATGCTTCTGCAGTCTAGCTGCAGCTTCTAGCAACAGTCTTCTGTTAAAAAAAGGACACTGAATGTCCTGAATCACACACAGGACTTGAGTCTGAACACAGCAGACAACAGGAGTATTTACAACAGCATATAACAACTAAAATACTGCATGTGGGTGCACACTTACATTATCTGTCTTACTGTTACATAAATCCCATGAATGTAGGAGATTAAGTTAGCTTCATTATATCTCAGTGATTAAGTGAATAATAAAGTTTCTATCGGGTCACTATCAGCCTGTCACTCATTATGTTCAGGGGGGGCGGGGCTTAGAGGAACAGAGGAGACGGTGATCGCGGAAGCTTTTTTCCTCCTGCCTTCACAAACTTTACACACGTACGTATATATCGTCTGAAAATTGCTAGAGGACATTCATACTTTGCAATCCAAGACTTAATTAAATCCACCAAAAACCTGACATGATTGTAACGCGATTATTTTTGAAAAACATAAATCCCTGTGTCTCTGTGCCGCAGCGACACGGAGTGATTCAGAGCGGGTCCTTCAGGCTGTTGGTTCTGGACTGGTGTTCTTCTGTTGGTGGATAAAGCAGACTGCTCCGTGTTTGGTGTTGCTGTGCCGCTGTCACGTCTGTTCCCTGATCTCTGCGTCACCGACCGATTTGATATTAAAGTGACAGAAAAA